TGAGGGGCTGGGGGGCACGCTGGGGCGCCGGGGCTGCCCGGGGAAGCCGAGGTGGTGACAGCCCCGTGTCCCCAGGGGTTTACTACGACGAGAACTGCAACGCGGAGAACATCAACCACGCCGTGCTGGCCGTGGGCTACGGGGCACAGAAGGGCACCAAGCACTGGATCATCAAGAACAGGTACACTGGGGGTGGGATGGCAGGATGGCCGGTCACCGGCTCGGGAACTGCTCTTCCGGAGGCTCAGGCTCTGCTTTTCCACCCCCCCAGCTGGGGCGAGGAGTGGGGCAACAAGGGCTACGTCCTCCTGGCCCGCAACATGGACAACGCCTGCGGCGTGGCCAACCTGGCCAGCTTCCCCAAGATGTGACACCCCGGCCCTTCCCTCCCCACCTCCCGGCCTTCCAACTCGGGCTCTTCCCTCCCGAAGGACAGAGCTCCCGGGGGGAATTCTGCCACTCCACCAGAAATTTCCCCTGGGAAAGGGGAGGGAGCCCCTCGCCCGGCTGCAGGGAATGGAGGGATGAGCTCCCCCCAGCTCTGTTTTCCTGGGAATTCTCTGCCGTGCTGGCTTCTGCCTTCCCATGGATCGTGCTTGGCCAGATCCATGAAGGCCGATCCATCCAGAGATGCTTCAGGAAATGGGTCCCAGGCCAGCCCCTGCCTCCAGGAATACTGGGGAACAGTGGATGTGGAATATTCCCAACGGAGAGCACAGATCCCTATGGCTCCACCCTGTATCCCAGTGGAGGCTGCTGAGAATGATACGACTATTTTTCAAATAAAATTGGGAATAAAAGCTGGGACCAGTTTGCTCCGTGCTGGGAAGGGGTCACAGGGATGGGAAAAGTCCTTCCCTTTCCTAAGGGGGCAGGACCCCCGTGGTGGGGCGGAACTGGGAGAGAAGGTGCTGCTGGGGAATTTTTGGATGGACAGACAGACGGAGGATCTGGGCTGGGGGAAGGACACGTGGAAGGACAGATGGATGGATGGATGAATCCACAGGAGTCCCCCAACCCCATCAGGGTCTCACAAACACCTCCCCCGGGGACTGTCAGCCACAGCTGGGGGGCAACGTGGGGCTGTAGGGACACGGGGAGCCCCTGGAATCATGGCAATGGGGGGAACACAGGTGACAGTGACACTGTGGGGCCACGAGAATCCAGGGGCTTTGGGGGGGGGGGAAAGAGACCCCCTGGGGACAAGAGGCCACGGGCACCCCATGTGGGTGAGGAGGTGGCCACAGCACACCCCAAAACCAAACACAGGTATCACACCGGGCCCGACACACCCTGACAGCACAAACACCCCAACACCCACCCACACCCCGGCACACCCCGGAATGGGGGCACGGGGGGGCCCCCAAAAAACAATGGGGACACTCACACACAGGGGTGGGGCCCCAAAACAGTGGAGACACTGAGACACAGTGTGGGGGGGGGACCCAAAACAATGACACAATGGCCACCCCCCCCAAAACCCAAACAATGGGGAC